AGAGAGAGAGAGAGAGAGAGAGAGAGAGAGAGAGAGAGAGAGAGAGAGAGAGGAGGTGATGGGGGAGTCGAGGGACATGTGGGCGGCAACTGCGTGGTACGCGCGAGTCGGTTTCTGATGTTATTCGTCTTGTTAATTCCAGCTATTCAGCATCCCCCGAACGAATCGATATTCTGACATACGCGGCTCACAAAGAGGATCCCGCTGCTCAGCGGGAAAAAGAGAAGAGAGAATATCCGCGTTCGCGGAACGTTCCCTTGTTAATTATAACGAAGTCCAGTCGGACATCACACCGGTGTCGCGTTGGCTTGAAGCCCACGAAGATTAAATATCTTGGAAATTACGTCGGGGGAAGCGAATTTTCGCAAAAAGAGAAAGAAACAAAAAATATAGAAAAAAGGAGAGGAGGAGGAGGGCAGAGAGGTATCTGATTGAAATTAAACCCGCGGCATGCGAAAGATCGTGTCGTTCTCGTCGAGATTTTGAAATTTTCCATGTTCTCCTGGCGAATCTCTCTCAATTTTCATCATTCGGATTCACGATTCCTCGAGTATTCCGTCCCCATGATGAGAGGAGAAATATCTAAAAAAAAAAAAAAAAAATATTTATTCGTGCGCGACGGCCACTGATAACATGTCCATTTGTATTAATACGCGTATTCTCTTACATTGGGAAAAATCATTTTCAAGCGGACGAATGTGCATTTTCTTCGAACGCGAAGAGAACTTTATGGTAAAAAATTCCTTCACAATTTTATGAGCGGAAGAGTAGATCGACATTCTGTAGTAATCGAGTATTCCTTTATTTCATATGTGCCATTAATATTTCAGAAATCGGACCACGCTATTAAAAAATTTACCATATTTCTGGTGAAATGAACTATCCTCCTCGGACCCATTAACGACCATACATTCCTGCATAGAGGAACATGGTGAAATTGAAAAAAATTTCTATGAAAGGGAACACACTGTGATATTCTCTCTCTGTCTCTCTCTCTCTCTCTCTGTGTAGCTTTTCGTGAAAAACGCTCGATTGTTTATTCTGTTTAAACAGAAGAATTCAGATCCAAGTAAACATGTTATTAGTATCCATCCAGGGAGGATAAAAATTTTTTATTTTTTAAATAAATTTTCTCTCACGCGCACACAACGCGACGTGTACGCCATTCCCGCGGGGCTGTCTGATACTTTCGCGGGGAACGCGCACCTTGGCCACGGATGATCCCCTGGCTGACGTCCTCGCGCGCAATTCGTCCTTGTGTAGCGTGCGACGTGATCGCGAAATTTTTCCTGCTGGAGGACGCTCTGCAGCATGCCCCCGCACAAACGCTTGCTCGCTCGATTATCGCAACTAGGGCGTCGCGCGCGACGCGGATAATAAATAATGCGATGCTAATAAAGCCGGCCGCCGCGTACACACACACACACACACACGCGCGCGCGCGCGTCGGCACGCCACACACGACGCATGCAATTTCACGTGGCAATGCGCTCCTCTCTTCCTTTTTTTCTTCCGCATCGCGCCGCGCTACGTCGCGCGGCGTCGCGCGAAGCGACGCGACGTGACGCGACGCATTGCCCGTTGTTGCGTGAAACTGTGTTGAGCGGAAAAGCGACGCCGACTTATGCAAACGACGCGCTTTACGCGCGCGTCGCGGCGCCCCATGGACGCCGTAAAAGTAATGCAACGCCGCACAGCCTCTAGCCGATCGCTTTTATTACATTATTTAAAATGTCCCGCGTTCTTCGCGCGCGAGCGCCCGCGCACGCGGAAGTTGTAAGGCAAATCCCGCCGCAAGTCTTTTAACGCGCGATCGCGCCAACGAGATGTCGTCACGACCCTCTGCTCCCGTCGCATCCTATCATCACGTCAACTCGCTTTTATCTCCAGTGTGTCTGCATCTGTTTTTCCAAGTGTCATTAAAAATGTTCTCTCTCTCTTTCTCCTTCTCTTTCCTTCCTTTCCTCTTCCCCTTTCTCTTTCTACTCTTCATCTCTTTTTCACTCTCCCCGTCTCTCTTTCTCCTTCTCTCCTTTCATTTCTTTTTTCTTCCTTTCTTTCATCTCTAATTTTACTCTCTCCGTCTCCTCCGCTGTCTTTACTTTCTCTCTCTACCTACTACTCCTTGTCTCTTTCTTTCCCTCTCTTTCTCCTCTTCTCCTCCTCCCCTCTCTCTCTCTCTCTCTCTCTTCTCATCAAAAGCTGCGGACGAATTCTGCCGTGGGAAAAGGGATAATTGGCACAATGAAGGATTACATTTGTTTGAATTACATTTATTTTCTGAAATTCCCGCGTTGCGAAATCCTCTTTACAGAATGTAAAGGCATGATCGAATAATTTCTTTTTACGATCAAGATATCCCGTCGATATAAAATAACCATTATCAATTGCGCGATCAATAAATTATCCGTAAAATATTTAAAATACCGCGACAATTAAAATATCGCAGTGAAAAAGTCCGCGATATTCCGGTACGCGTTCTCCGAACTTTTCTCCCCTCGCCCTCCCCCACCTATCCTCTCGCGCTTTTCCATTATTATTATCTCGCCGAGAAAAAAGAAAAAAAAAAAACAAAAATCCGTCGCTTTCGCGCGCGCGTTTATTTTCCGCGCAGTGAAATACTTTAAATTCGCAGTGAAATTTAATAACTCCCCGAACGCGGAGAGAAATTATATTTTTGTTAATTAATGCGTGACTCTGCGTATATCTGACTAGCGTTATTCTTGTTTTCTCCTCTTGCGAGCTTAAAAATTAAACGTTCACAAGCGGCGGATTAAGCGGCGGGGTATTTTTATCTAATCAACAGGTACGCGCGCGTTCGGTTATTAAAGCGATCATCGAGCGCGTTCGCGGCGAGACGCCCGTTCCGTCGCACGCCCGCCACATAAATAAAAATATCGCGTCTTGTCTAATTCCAGTGTCAGTCCCCTTTCCCTCCAATGAAATTTTCAATGATCGATGATGTCGCGTGAGTAACGGCCTGAATTCGGCCGATAGAAAGAGCGGTACAGGGGGAGGGGAGAGGACAGCCGGGTTAATCGATAGCGGTATTTATTTGCAGACAATTGTATGTTTAATCGTCGTACATCATTGTTGCCCCGTTGTCGTCGCTCGCAACCGCGTTATTTATCTCTTGCGAGCTCTCGAATAATCCACAATGTCGACGTACTCTCTCTCTTTCTCTCTCTCACTCTATCTCGTCCTTCCTCTCTCCCTCCCCAACTCTCCGATGTCTCCTCAGCGCCTCGATATTGAAAATGTCGGACTGAAAATGTGCCGCCCTGCATCGTTACGCCGATATCTGAGTTCGTACTCGTGACGTGACGTCATTGTAAATTTCTTAATCGCTAGCCTCCACTGCCGTTTTGCACAACGACGTGCGTCACTTTCTCGCGTTACATTCAGCGACAACTGTCCAGGGTTCATTCTTACTCTAAACTACTAAACGGCCACTTAATTTCTCGTTGTTCACTGTTGCTCTTGGCCGTATTCGATGTATCGCGTATCTCTTTTTGTCTTATCGAGGAGGTCGTGTCCGGGAAAACGGAAAGAATGCCAGATAACGCGCGATAGCTTTCATTTTGTCGGGCTGTGCGTTTTCAGATTAACGCTAGCGTTGTCAAATGCCGAATAACAGCTGTGGGTAACTCGGTAAATTCGCGAAAGAATTCTTTAAATCTGACTAGATTCAATTCGACTTCCAAAATAAAATTATTTGTCCCGACAATGAGAGAAAGAGAGACAGGGGGAAGAGATATTGGCCGTTAATGGATTACAAAAAGGACAGAAAAGTTATCGACGCAGTAACAAAATTTTATGCCACAATGTATCAATTTCGTTTTTATAGTTTAATGCAATCATTTAGGAAGCGTTAACGAACAGTATTCCATTTTTCGAAACAAAAAAGTTTTAACGTGGATTTAATTATCCCCGCAACATAAAAACGCGTATAAAAATTCTTCCTTTGAGTTTTTTTTCGCGGTATTTAATTTCTAAAAGTATATATTGCAATTTTCCCGGTGTACCGCAGCAATGTTATTTTTGATGCAACAACAAGCGTGTTATTTTATAACGCTATAAAACATTACAAGTTATGAAGGTATTATAAAAAATACAGCCCTATAAACATACGTGCTATAAACATCGCTCTCGGTGTCGAGTGTTTCGCGAGCAATTTTCTTCATGGCATTATGGCGGAGCCAAAGCTGGGAGAGTTTAACTTCGCTCGCGGAGAATCGACTCGCGACTGTAAATTCTTTGGAAAATTTACCATACAGCACACACACACACGCGTCATCAAGATCCGTAAGCGCGTACCGATTCGACTCGAGCCGTTTTCAATGAGAACTCGATCGAGCATCGTCCTTTCGCGCTCACAGCTTTGTAACATTAAATCCGGCAGGGTCCGACGAATTTAAGTTCCATCGGAGCGAAATCCGCTCAAAATTAGACTGCGAACTTCCGTTCACCCATCTCGTCCCTGAAGCTCGAATCGCTCGACAGGGTGTCACCTACTTTCACTTGTTTGTAGGCGAAGTGATATCAACGTTTCGATATGTGTCGGTCAACCCGAATCGAAATTTTAGCTCTATGTTAAACTTTGAATTCTATAATGTAGTAGGAGCTAAGTTAGCAAAATAGGCTCCAATGAAATATAATTTACTCTTGCTTTAACTCTAATGATATCCGACATTTCGTTTTTCGACTTTTTATAGCGTCAAAAATAGATTGCATTATAAACTTCAGAATATTAAAATAGGTGTTGAATGGAATAATGAGGTTGAAAGTGGGATCAAAATTTCAACTTGGATAGGTAAAATAAAATCACGAGGTTAATGTAGGTTTCAGAGTATCAAAATAGACGTTGAATGGAATAGTAAGGCTGAAAGTAGGATAAAAATATCGACTCGAGGATACCACAACTAGTCTTGTTATTCCATTCAACACCTATTTTGATATTGCGCAGTTTTGCTAACTCAGCTCCTACTGCATTGTGGAATTCAAGGTTTAACATAAAACCAAAATTTCGGCTCGGGAGGTGTTGAATGGAATAGCGAGATAGGATCAAAATTTCGAGTCGGGTAGGTGAGATGGAATCCAAGGAAGTAGATATAGGTTGATGTAGGTGTTTCAGAATATCAAAATAGATATTGAATGGAACAGTAAGGCTGAAAGTAGAATCCAAATCTCTGTGGGAATCCGCAAGATTATCAAGGGACTCGCGATTATTGGGAGAACGCGCTTTCGCAAAAAATCCGCCGCTCTATTTTGGTGGTCGCGCGGTGATGCGCGCGTATGTTTATACACGACGTGTGCGGTGAGCGTACGTACGCTCTGCGGCTCTTTAATTTCCAACGATTCGATGTGCATCGCGTTTTCGTTAGGGGAAAAATATTGGGTTTGTATTCGCCCGAGAATTTGTCAACGCGACGCGACAACGCTTCACTCGCGTCCCGCGTACATTCCAGTCACGGCTTCGAGTAGTCTCACGAATGCTCGTGAGATTTTTAGAACAACGCGAAATCCTTCGTCCCACGATGCCTGCGAGGAGACGTCTTCTCTCTTTCTGTCTCTCTCTCTCT